AGAGCATCTCTCAAGGCTGGAGTGATCATCTCTCTCCGCTCCTCCTCTGACTCGCTCTTCCTCACTCCATTCTGCTTTGACAGCTTCACCCTCTGGGAGTCCTCTTCATCTCCCTCCATCCTCTGCAGCACATACAACCACAAAGAAAAAAAAAGACACAAAACCAGTCACATTTAAAAAAAAAAAAAACGAATTCATTCATACAACCTAGTCACAGTTACACAACCAGCCATTGTGCGTCAGAGGAACCAACAGAGGCTGAACCTTTAACATATTATTCAAAAAGTACATAACTAAAGTGATAAAATTTACTTTTTTAATCAATTTACTTACTAATGTGCATAACTCCGAGGCATATAATGATTTTACTGTCATACGAAGTAGCCCAGGTGAGTTTTAATCATTATACAAAACCTTGGAGTTGATTGTTCAGCTGACAACATTGAAAATACATCTACCCAAAACATTTCCAGTTGGCAAAAACTTACACATGTATAGCCAAATGAACAGACTCTACTTATATCCCTCACAGCTACTCTCATAAGAATCAAAGTAAATATTATGCCTAACTTGACTAAAGTCTTGACATAGCACCACACATCTTTCCTTTATTAAAGATGCAATTTTTTAGGAAATGAAAGAGGTTTACTATTTATCAGATATCACATCGCATATTTAAAAACTCCACAGAGCTTAATTTCATATTGAACTGTAATTATGTAATTGATTTCATAAATCAAAGACTTGGAAACAGATACTGCTTTGAAAATGATGGCACTAATGGGATGGTTTAAACAGAAATGACACAGCCATATGGTTCTGAGGAAACACACTGATGAAGGTCTTGGACTACCATCACTGAACTTCAGCACTCAAGCGCTCTTATGCAAACAGACTGCATTAAACTTTATTGCGATTCCAGGCTGCACAGGTTCCAGAATATACAATCTGCTGGAAATCAAGTCTGACTTACAGTTCCTGCTCCTTTTCCTCAAATGTTATTATTCCATATTTCTTTCCATACATATGGCAGCATTGGCAATTTTTTTCCACACTAAAAGGTCAGAGGCAGTCTGGCTTCAGATTCAGACAAAGGGCTGTATTCGGCAGATGAAGGGAATTATCAGGCAAGCTGGATGCCATAGGTCACTTTAGATGCTCTACGCAGGATGTTCAAAGGACATGTAAGAAATGTGCAGTATCTACCAAAGAACGAATTACTAAAAAAAAAAAACATATGACAAAGGTTATGTTCTTACCATACCCTAGATTAAATAATAGACTTCAAATGTAACAAAAAAAAAAAACAAAAAAACACTTTTGGTTATTTAGGTTTAACAAAGAAGGAAAAAAAGAAAAGAAATAAAAAAAACTTTTTTTAAAAAAGATTACCAATCCAAACAACAAAACAAATTCAAGAAAAACACAAAACCCCGAACATAACAAAAACATCCCCCCTTAACAAAAAAGACACAAACTAAACCCAAACAAAGAACAAACAAAAACCAAATCCAAACAACAAAATCAAGAAAAACACAAAACCCAAACATAAAAACAACCCCCCCCCCCCC